TGTGGAGACGTGGCCCGAGGCTGTCTCTCTATGTTTGCATACACAGGCTCCGGGGGGTCCTCCACCTGCTACGGGAGGAAGGAGACTGACTTTCAGGGAACCTTTCAGGGGACCTCCGGGGTCGCACAGTCCAGACTCGTCCACTTGCCACCCGTGCGACCTGCAGCAAGTCACAGCTCTCTGCCTTAGTTTCCCTGGGTGTAAAATGTCTGCTCTGTTTATTCTGAAAACTGTAGTGACATGAGAATGAGGAAATGTTCCTGAAAGTGCTTTGTAAAATATTTAGTGCCCCAGAAGGGTGGGACAATGACATTAATTATTCATGAGCAATAAAATACTGATAACAAGGTTCCCACAGCTATGCACACAGAAACGAGGCTGGGCAGGAACAGGGACCTGGGACCTGTCCCTCTGTCCCTTTTCCCTGTCCTTATTCATGTTATGGCCAGCTGCTGAGGGCTCCTGGGCCTCCTTCCCTCCCTGCCCAGAGAGCTCTGGGATTGCGATCACTGTTGGGACTGGAACTGCCCTCTGTGGGGTCTGCAGATGTTATAATCAATCTCAATTCCTTTTAAAAGAAAGAAAGAGGTGACAACCAGATGGGCTGGATAAGAGAGGGGCAAAGAAAAGCAAGTCCCAGGGAATCAGCAGTTAGTGTAATGGCTATGTCGCTGGACTCCCATGTAGTCGACCAGGGTTCGTGTCCCGGACCCGGTGGCTTAAAACTCACGCCGGGTGCATGTGTGTGCGTGCCCAAGATCCCGAGAGGAGAATGGAGGAGAAGGGATTGCGGCGTGATTTCTCGCTTTCAGTCTCTATGTCTCTCTCTCTGTCTGGTGAGCGCGCGCGCCCTATAGCGAAAACCTCTCCAAAAAGAGGAGAAAGAAAAGAAAAGCAAGTCCCCTTCCTTCTCCAAAGGGAAGTGGGGATGGCTGCAGAGTACAAGCCTGTCACACTCAACCGCCTCACAGACCAGAAGCTCTCCTGATGACACCTCCTGGCTTCCTGCTGGCTGCAGGGCGAAGTCTAAGCCCTTGACCAGGGGAGAGGCAGGCCAGCAGTCTGTCACCTGCCTGTGTTTCTGCTTCATTTCCTGCCACTCCTTGCCCCTTACCTTGAACTTTAAGCTCTAGTAGCACCCAGCTACCAGAGGGCCCCACCCTCTGCTGCGTCTCCTCCTGGCCTTGGCTCACAGGCAGCTAGCCTGGGCCCACCTCCACCTCTTTCTCCCCTGGCTGACTCCTGTGTCTTTTTCCAGGGCTTAGCTCAGGTGCCAGGTCCCAGACCTTTCCTGAGATTCCTCCCTGCCACTCAGTCCAGGACCCTTGGCCCAGTAGAGGAACAGACAACTCCACAACCCCAGGCAGCAGAATAGCAGGTAGGGATTAACACTTTGCTAAGAATACATCATAATCGGGGGTGGAGGGGTGGCTGGGGGCTGGGCATTGGGAGCAAATTTCAAAATGATATAATTAGCATAATTCTAATTTTGTATCTTTCAGGAAACTTCCAAAATGTTAAGAGGTCTTCTCTGGAAAGTGAAATTATAGAGGCCTGGATTTGATTTTGTTTCATATTTTTTCTTTAAACTTTTCTGCAGCCTCAACATTTTGTACAATAAAACTTTTCTTCCTACTGCTTAAGACCTTTTTATTAAAGCAAGAACCTTACAATCTAAGGTGCTTTTCCTTGCTCAGTTATCAGTTCTCTTATTTAAAACAGAACTGACATCCTGAGCTTTTCCACAGTAAAGAATTACAAAATTAAAGGAATGCTTTAGATTTTTTGTAATTTACTGAAAATTCTTTTTCCCAGGGGCTATAAAACATTTTGTGTTCATACAACAACAGAAAGACTACAGGGACCAGCAGTTAGCATAATGGCTATGTCGCTGGGCTCCCACGTAGTCGACCACGGTTTGAGTCCCGGACCTGGTGGCTTAAACTCACGCTGGGCGTGTGTGCATGCATGCCCAGGATCTGTAGAGGAGAATGGAGGAGAAGGGATTGCCATGTGGCCATGCCCCTGGGGGGTGATTTCTCACTTTCTGTCTCTGTCTCTCTCTGTCTTTCTGGTGAGTGCACGTGCCCTATAGCAAAAACCTCTCTCTCTCTCTCTCAAAAAAAAAAAAAAAAAACTCCCCCTCTCAAAAAAAAAAAAAAAAAGACCATAATAAACTCCTTTTTTTTTTTTTTCTTTTAGACTTTTGTCATAGGGCACATGCCCACACAAGACAGAGATAATTAGAAATTACCCTCCAGCATGATGGCCACACTACAATCCCTTCTCCTCCATTCTCCTCTCAGGATTGTGGGTATGTGCACACATGTGCCTAGTGTATTTTTTAAGCCACAGGGTTGGGGACTCAAACTGCAGAGTTGGCCATGTGGGATCCAGCAATTTAACCACTATGCTACCTGCTGGCCCAATAATACTTTTTAAAAAAAATTTTATTTATTCATTCATTTCTTTTTAATTTGACAGAGAGAGACACAGAGAGAGAGAGAAAGAGGGGAAGTGAGAAAGCAAGCCACCAGGTCCAGGACTTGAACCATGGTCAGCCATGTGGGAGTGTCCAGTGCCCTATCCACCACGCCACCTACTGGTCCCCAAAATTTTTTTTAAAAGGTTATGTGCTCACTAGAGAGACAGAGAAAGACAGTGAGAGGGAAAGAAAGAAATCCCCCTGGGGGGATGGGCACACTGCAGTCCCTTCTCCTCTATTCTTCTCCTGGGATTTTGGGCATGCACGCACACGCACCCAGTGTGTTTCAAACCACCGGGTCTGAGTCTCAAACTGAGGTCATCATATGGGAGTCCAGTGCCTTAAAGCTACCCAGCCACCTGCTGCCCACCCCCCACC